TCTGTAAACATTGTCCATTGCTGTATCTACAAATTCATGTTAAGACTCTTAAGTTAAATGTCAACAACATCCAGAAACGCCACCGAATTCTCAGGGCTCAAGCTCATCTGAAATGAACTGATGCTCAGTAGAAACGTGTGTTGTGGTCTGGTGAAATAATGAACGTCGTCTTCTCCAGGCCAAAGAAGAAAAGAGCCATTCAGATTGTTGCTGGGGTAACATTCAAATGCCAAGGTCTGTCATGGTATGGATGGAGGTATTAGTTTGTAACTCAGACATCTGTGAAAGCTTCATTAATGCTGAAAGATATATACACATATTGGAGCAACATATACTGCCTTCTAGACGCCGTCTTTTTCAGGGACACTCAGTTATTTCAACGTGACAATGGCAAGAACATTCTGAACGTGTCACAACAGCATGGCTGTGTAATCAGTGCGCAGGTGCTAGACTGGCTTGTGTGTAAAACATGTTGCCCATTATGAAGTGTAAATTACAACAACAACTAATGACAAACAAAATCTGCTTTCAGAACTGGATCAGTTTGTTTCTTCAGTCCTAAAATATTCCAAAAGTGCTGTTAAAAAGAAAAATGATGTAATACAGTAGGAAATATACTCCTGCCTCAACTTTTTGTCTGCAGGCGTTATATTTGGAATTAACATATATTTACAAGAAGACATTAAATTTCATAAGCTAAAACATCAAATACTGCATTTTGGCACTGTTTCTGTTTTCAGATTCACTCTCAGAAATAAAGGTACTAAACAGTCACTGGGGCAGTACCTCTCAGGTCACTGGGGTGGTATCCTCAAGGGTACATCTCAGTACCTTTAGTCAGGGAACATAGTTTAAATGATATTTTCTAAGTTGTATTGACTCCACACACCCCGTCTCGTCTCCAGGCTTTTTATTTAATTGTTCTGTTTTAAAACATTCGGTTACGAAAAGGTACAAATACATACTTTTCACCTGCATAAAATTATTTAAGGTTTCACAATTGGACTTTAAAACCACTGTAGTACCTTTGAGGAAACATGTACATTGTTTGTACCTTGATGAACAAATAATATACCTGCACAGAACCTTTATTTCTAAACTTTTTAATAGAGGTCAGACAGAATTTACTAATCACTGCTTTTTGTTTTTACTGGTTATTTACATACTGTCCCAACTTTTTTGAAATTGCGTTTATACATGGCAATTTAGTTGCTTGAAACTTACATGAAACTGAAGCTTAAATTAAATTAAGGTATTCTTCAAACAATGAAAGAACTAAACGAACCAAACTACTGCCAAATGCACTGTTGTAAATTTACATACTTGCTAGCTAAGCTAACTAGTTACCAGCAATTAAAGCACCAGTATATAGGATTTTATGATAATCTGAAAGAAGCAGGAATAAAAAAATAGGGTAAAATATGGTGTCCATGCGCTGCTGCGAGTCACCTGTAAAGCCTGAAATAGTGATTTAAAAATCAGAGGCATCAGCTCGGGTGGTTTTCTTGCCACGTCATACATCTTTACATATTAACATCATGTGCACAGGCTCAAAAAGAGGGTTCAGCTCGATGTTTAGGTTTCAAATACAAAATTGACATTATACTGATAAAGATATGATTAATTCTTTTGCAACGCACTCACAATCATCAGATTCATCCGCTCGGGGAAGGGGTCTAAACCACAGCCCACATTACAAAATGTTCACATTGCATGCAATTACACATTTCCACCAGAGAGGTCTCCAGATCCCCATAGCTTACAGCTTTAAACAATATTAACTGTTAAGCTTTGTAGTTTGTCATTGTTTTTTTTGTGATATCATATGATGCAGTCCTATGGTTTGAAATCAGCTTTTTTGATTTCTCTTCTAAAAAGTCGAAACAGTTGCAACAGTCCTTCAAACAGGTATCATGTAAATCATTTAAAGTTAATATCTTATCACACAAAGTTAGGCTTAAACTTCAAGGTACAGGGTTCAGTTCCTCACTCACATAATGGCAACACTAAAAAGAATCCAGTTCTGCCTGGATTCTGGATTTTATCATGATTTTGCAGGGCTTTATGCCACACTGTGTGGTACAAATGTAGCTATAACCTGCTACTCTTTGTGAGGCCCAGAAAAGTATTTGAACAGCCATGCAGTCTTAAAATGTTTTCCAGATTTATATTCTCTATGGATTCTAAGCCTCATAAACATGATACATTGTCTTTAGGTTTAGGTCAGTAAACATGGAGCTTGCATTGAGTTTTTCCTCTTTTTATACACAGCCTGAGGAAGCGTGTTCTCTCGGCCCATGTAATTAAATCCTCCCAAACGGAAATCCTGTCTCCTCCGAGGGTTTTGGTTCTTGTGGGCTGTTTACGGTTTCTTCACCAATCTCAGACCAATCATTTTCACAGGCCATGCAGTCATGCACCAAACCAATCCACACCGAAGGTAAGCTCCCTAGAAAAAAAGAAAACGGGGCCAGGCGAGATCCCAGAACATGTCATTCAGCCTCGCCTCTTCCTTCATTTGATTATTATTGTAGAGAGATCTGTTTGAAATCTTCTGTTTTTGTTGCAGGCCTAGCCACAAAAACAGGCCTGTCTGAGAATAGCTGAAAAATAATTTGAAGTGATGTTCAACTGTCATGTGGCCTCCTATTTTGTCGCTCACTTGGGACTGTTGTTTTGCTGTCTTGGACAGTTTTGTTTTTATTTATTTTTAAAGATATACTTTGATGTAAAACTCTGTGATGCTTTTTCATTTTGAATAGTCTGGTAACCTTCTAAGATCATCATCTTAAAAAGTCACCATTGAAGTAAATAATGGTGGAGTTGCTTTCATGCTCAATGATAAGTCTACCCAAGGGTAACATACACAACTAGAAGGGACTTTGTACAGAGCCCTGGAGTACACCATAATGAATGTCATATGTTTTTAAGACATGGAGCCCTATTTTTGTGCCTAAATATGAAGCAGACAGTTGGTATAATTAGGCTTAAAATATCACAGAATTAATAGGATCAATGGAATGTGAAAGAAAACTAAAATCTGGTTGTTTAACCAATGTTAGAAGGGCGAGAGGGGGCGGTAGCACATCTTTGGGGCAGGAAGAAAAAGGAACGTAGGAGTGGGAATTTTTGGATAGATTTGTAGAGATGTGGTATTCGCATAAATATAATACCTATGGTGAAATGAAAATGCATTATTAAAGGCAAGGCAGGGCAAGTTTATTTAAATAGCACCTTTCATCCACTGCACTCATTCAATGATGAAATACAAAGATAATTCGTATTATAGTTTAAAAAGTAACAAAGTAAAGGAGAATAGAAATTAAAAACATGATTGAAACATGAATAAAAATAGATTTTAACAGAACCATTAAAAATCTAAATAAAAATGAAATTTGAATAATAAAGTGCTGTTACAGAAGAGAAGTGCAGAAGAGCTGATAGCTTTTAAACTGAGCTGAAAGCTGCTCAAGTAGAAACGTTTTCAGCCCGGATGTCGGGGCTCTTCTAACACTCTCTGTCAACTGGTTCAATTTAAGAGCAGCTTAGTAGCTAAATGCTGCTTCTCCATGCTTTACCTTCTGCAGGACTACCTGACCAGTTTCCTAATGATCTGAGAGTTCTTCTCGGCTCATATCACTGCAGCATATAGGACAAATAGACTGGTCCTGCACTATTAAGCCATTTTTAGACCAGTAATAGTATCTTAAAGTCTATTCTGTAACAGACTGCTAGTCAGTGTAAGGATTTAAGAATGGGGGGGGTGATGTGGTCCCTTCTTTTACTTCTAGTGAGACTCTGACAGCTGCGTTTTGAATCAGCTGAATGTGTTTGATTGTCTTTTTTGGGAGTCCAGTTAGGAGACCATTACAGTGATCAATCCTGCTAGAAATAAAGGCGTGGATGAGTTTCTCCAGGTCTGCTTTAGTCAGAAAATCTCTGATCCTCTTGATGTTTTTAAGATGATAAAATGCTGATTTAGTAACTGCTTTGACACGACTGCTAAAACTAAAATCCATTAGTACACCAAGTTTATGCATTAGTTCTTAAGATTTTAGTGCTTTTGAGTCCAGACAGGCAGCTAGTCTGAGCCTCTCGTGGCTAAAATAATTTCTGTATTTTTTTATCTTTATTCAGTTGCAGTGTGTTTTGTCCTATTCAGTTAGTGATGTTTTCAAGATACAATTAAACATACACAGTAATGTCTAAAACCATCATAATTATATAATCAATCATATAATATTTTCGTTCATACTGCACTAGCTTGTGTATCTTAGCCGCTCAGCTCTGGCTGGCACTTTGGCTTTTAGACATGCCAGCTTGACAGAAACTGGCATGGCGAATTTAGAGGACATGTAGTGCATGATGGCAAGAGTCTAGACTCACAGTAGGAAGGCTGGCATGGGGCAGCCAGACGGAAAACAAGCGCAGGGAAAGTGAACGAGCAATGCAGCGGTAAATAAAAGGAACTATGGCGGAGGAAGTGAAGGAGGGGAGAGAGCCTGTCCACAGATGTAGGTGTGTCAAGACTCCTGACGAATGGGCTGATTTAGTACTGGAATAATACAATAACGAGCTGTAATTTGTTGTTTTAGTGAAATGTTAGCTCAGGGGACTCATATAAGTCATTCATCTGCTGGCACTGTGGTACGCTTTCACTCCCTTCTGCTGGAGAACATTCCTCAACAACACTCTGGCCTATCGAGTTTGTCCGTGTATGCCTGTTCATGTGAGGCAGTGGGTACTATATGGTGGCTGAATAGATGTGGCTAACCGAATAGCTAACTGGCATTCATTCTTCATGTGGATAATGTTCCCAAGACACCCAAGACATGAAAACACCCATTCCGTAGAGGCACGATGTAGCCATGCACTGATCAAACAAGCTGGGCTTTTGTGGGGTTTATTTTATGAAAAGCCTCAAGAGGATAATTTAAGTGCTTTGAGAAATGGAAAAAGGAAAAATCTCTCTTTTTTCTCTGTTTCTTTCTCTCATGTAGAGTGTATGAACTGTACCGGTTACACTGACCTAAGCAGTCGTCTGAACACCATTGAGTCTAAGGTAAGAGCAAGGCCTAGAGATTTGATGTATAAGTCTTTATGATGGCACTTTTTGATGTGCATGCAGTGCAGATGCCATTTAAACAACAAAAAATGAGCTGAAGCCTTTTTTGGGAGCATAGAAACTTAGATATATGGCAGGCAACAAAACGGATATGGATTGGGTCAGTTTTTTCACGTTGACATTGATGTTTTATATCATATACAAATAGAAGGGGACCTATTATGAATGTCATGTCTTTTAGATATGTGGTCAGGTTTTCTATATTTATTTAACTTAATAATATGCGAATCAAGTAGGGAAACATATACATATAATAGGGAAACATATACAAATAGAGGGGGCCCCAGTACAGAGCCCTGAGGTACACCACAATGAATGTCATGTATTTTAAGACATAGACTACTAAACTAAGTATTCAGTATTTCAGTTAAATGTGTAATTAATTGTATGCATCTATGATTCATTTAGGTTTATTGTACGAATGCGGCACTTAAATACAGTCCTTAAATACCGTCAACATCACTGACATTATTGACTACAGTCAAAATTCTATTGATGATTGTTAACAAGTGTTTAGTGAGTTTTGGTGTGTTTGGTTGTGTTTGTTAGATCAAGCTGTTGGAGGTGGCCAGACCTCGGCCACCGCCCGTTCATAAGTTGCCAGAGGGATCAACAGACAACGAGGTGGAGACATCCAACCCCACCACTATTGGACCCCCTACCCTTCTGGCAACCAGGTGAGGCAATATGAACATCATTTAACTTCTCCTCTCTTTTCTTATAAAGCATCCACCCCATTATTTTAACTCAGAGTAGTGTTTCATCCCAGCAAGCGAGCTCCTCGAGATTTGTGGCCACATATGAGAAGAAAGTAATTGCCATAGGAGCGGAGGAGGAATGATGTGTTGAGTCTATGAAAGGCTGTTGCTTGGAGACATGAAGAAAGGATATTCATATTTCTTTGGAGCTGAAGCAGCCAAAAGTTTCTTGTGTCTGAAAATTCTCACCTGGTGTTTAATCGTGTTAAAAAGAGTGCTGACCCAGCCATCCAGGTGCAGTGTTAGAAATCAAAAGAACTGCTTGTTCATGACATTTTTTCCACATTTTCACCTTTTTACTACTGTATATAACTGTAAAAAGGGGGGCAATGTAAGGTTAACAAATACACTTCACTTTTCACTACTTTATAGTAGCCACCAAATTATCACATTATGGTGTATGCCAAGCATTGATGGCAGCAAATTGTCATAAATGTATCCTTCAATTCTCATAAATCAAATTTTTTAGGCATTCGGTTCTGCCCAGTGGTTAAATACAGAAAATTAATAAGTGTACAGTTGTTTTCAGTAGAACTTTATTTCTTTTTCAATAAAAGATTGAATTTCATGTGAAAAGGCTTCAAATGAAATGTTATTATTATTTTTATTATTATGATTATTCTATGAAGCCCTTCTTCATCATATTGCCTATTTACATCTTTATGAGCCCATCCAGTGTTTAATCTGGCAGCCCATGCAGGGACCTGGCTTAACTATGTCGAATCCACTTAATAGATTTGAGGTGAACTCCCACAATGAGGCAATACAAAAGCTGTTCTATACAATAATACAAAGGGCCCATAGCCTATGAGGATGAATTAGATTGCTGGATTACGTTTCACTCTATGTGAATATTATGATATTCCATAATAACAGGATCCAGCATGGCCAACATGTGAATTTATGTCGGCGTCTGGCAGCACATCCTCCGCAGTTGTTCTGGATATTAGCTCTTTCGCATAATTTTAAAAGGTACTGCAGATGCAGGCAAACTGAAATGTGGAGTACAGGTGGAATTGTTCCATTGTTCCAGAAAAAACTTGTGAAGGTTCTTAAGACGAACACTAAGAAGTGCATGAAAATGGTCTTAAATGCAGTTCTTAGAAAAAAAGCTTGGAAAATTTCTCAAGTATTCTCTTAAGATAATCTTAATTATTTTCTTAAAATTTTCTTATGAAAATCTTTATTGTTGCATTGCATTTTACACCGGACCATAAATGATGCAAGTGCCTAAAATTACTATTTAATTAATTGTTTGAAGATATTATAAGTAATAAAAGTACTCAGAGTGTATCATTTAGATTCAGCAAGTTTGGTGGCATGATACACACCCTCTCGGAAATAAAGGTACTAAACTGTCACTGGGGCAGTGCCCCTCTTGTCACTGGGGCTGGGACCCTCAAGGGTACATCTCAGTACCTTTAGTCAGGGAACATAACTGTACCATAATCCACTGAAATGATATTTTCTAAGCTGTACTGACTCCACACACCCCGTCTCGTCTCCAGTCTTTTATTTTATCGTTCTGTTTTAAAATATTTGGTTATGAAAAGATACAAATACAAACTTTTCACCTGGAAAAACTTATTTAAGGTTCACAGTTGGACCTTAAAACCACTGTAGTACCTTTGAGGGAACATCTACATTGTTTGTACCTTGATGAACTAAAAATGTACCTGCACAGAACCTTTATTTCTAACAGTGCAAATACATAGTACAACTGATGTCATTGACCCAAGTTATGCTGAATTTGTGGCTAATGGATGACGAAGTAATATAATAAACATTTCATATTCATAAAGCATTTTAATAAGATCAGTCATATACAAAACTTTTATCTTGTATATTTTATGCTTTCTAGGTTTCACACAAGAAAGATTAGAAACTGTAGTTTCTCATGTATATTCCACACTGTGTGCCTCCACTTATTGTGTACAGGTACAAGAGGTCCTCCAGGGCCTATTGGACCTCCTGGTATTCCTGGCTCCTCAGGCCCTCCTGGACCTGCAGGACAGACGGGTGCTCCAGGGCGACCAGGACCCACGGGTAAGAATCACATTCAGGTTTTTCTGTCATATTAATGACCACAATAACATGTGTGTTCAAAGACTATTCTTCTGCTCCCTGACCCACATTCAGCAGATGTATATGTTGGGAGGGATGGGCGGTTGTACTTCTCAGTTCTCAGTACTTCTAATTTGCATAATTTTCCCCTTTCTCCAAGACATATTAGGGTCCATTTTTATTAGGGCAATTTTATGTCTAGGCCAGTTTTCATGTGTGCCAGACGAGGGACGACAAAGCCTTAAAGCTTTTCCCCGTCGAGACCGAGACCGGTGGGAGTGCTGTTTGACATTTTTAGCAGAATGGGCTGTTGCCAAGTTTCTTTGTCTTTGAATCACCTGGCAACATTTTTTCACCATTACTCCTCAAACAAATTCCTTCTTCTTCTTCTGCTTCTTTCTGCAATTTTAATAATGAAAAGCACATCAGACTTGATGTGAAGGTTTTAGTGCTTTAAATCTGCATCTGTTAATCCATAGACATCAAAAAGACGTTACAATATCTTAACATTAGACTATAAAGTGCTTCTGATGCCTTTTTCTCTGTGTGACAGGACGTTCCCTCGTGGCAGTTCTTTGCTATGTGTCAAAGAAGCAAATACTGCAGTTTCAGATGACGGATCGGAGCAAAGAACGCTCATTGATCCAAATAATATTCTACATATCGATTTCAGAAATCCTGTTTTGTGAAATACGCTGTACCGACATCTGTGAGCTGTTTACCACTTCATATTAATCTGCCAGCCCTCTGCATCAGTCCTCTTGGTAGAAGCTGGAATAGTAACTGTGACTGTTACATGTGCATTGTAGTTTTAATTCTGTTAATTGGATCTCATATAAGGAAACACTCACCTTTGTTCGCAGGCCCAAAGGGGCAGAGAGGCTTCCCAGGTGAAATCGGTCTTCCAGGGCCTCCAGGACCTCCAGGGCCTCCAGGGCAACCTGGCCTGCCCAACTCCATCCCTCTGAGGGGGGATGTATTTCAGGCGATAAATCGGGACGAAACAAGTGAGTGGATTCACCAATATAAACATTGACTCTGACATTGCAGCAAATAGCACAATAAACCAAGGATTTATGTGTCTACATCATGATAAAATTTAAGTTATAAATCATCTGTAGATAAGAAATGACAGTGGAGATTACAGAGGATGTGCTATAGCCTGGTTAGCTCTTACTGTGTGTTGTTTATATGTCTCAAAACAGTGCTGTATTATAGCTGCCAAGGGGGAGATTAAAATAATACAGGTGTGAATTCTGTGACTTTAAAAACTCACAAATCTAAACACTTATGATAAAAAAGTTACTTTGTGGTACAATCAGATGGAATTCAGGATGAATTCAGGAGAAATGTCTCAGAGTTTGCACATCATAATGCTATTGTAATATGACAAAGAGAGCAGCAACATGTTGCACACATTAAAAAACTCTGATATATTTTACTCTCCTTTCGGTTGCTCGCCCGTACAATTTGGATCAATATTTGTCTAAAAGTCTGCTCTATGTGTCCACACATGGTACCAGCTTAATAAAAAGACCATGCTAAAAAGCCTTCCATGGCTGAGAATCCTAGAAAGCGTAAGACGTCTGAGTGGATAAGATGGCCCTCCCTCCCCCATCACTCAGTTAGCATTCTCCTCCAAGCGTGTTGAGCTTTTCACAGACATTACATTACGTGGAGCTCAGGAAAATTTGGTGGAGCTTCACATGAGTCATAGAAAGCTTTCTAGGTGGCATCGTTTGATGGGGGAGATAAACTAGCAGGTGGAATTGGACCTTGACTAAAATGTGGAATTAATAAAAAAATAACAGTTCAATACACATCAGCTTCTTACCTGATTGAGAAGATAAAATAGTAATGGTGGTATATTTTTATCGGGCCTTAATTCACCCGTTAGGACTGGTTAGGCAGGTCAAGAGCCATCATTATGAATTGTCAACTGCTAACACTCAGCAACCATAAGCTTCTCAAAGCAACTGGCTCAGTTAAGGTAGAGGAATGGGAGAGTTGCAAGGCGCAAGCCACTGCTGACCAAAAAGAACACAAAGGCTCTTCTCACATTTGCCAAAAACATGTAGATGACCCCCAAGAGTTTTGGGAAAATGTTCTGTGGACTGAGTCAAAGGTAGAACTTTTTGGAGGACACGGGTAAAGCGTAAAGCTAATACCACATTCCACCATAAGAACATCATACCAACAGTGAAACATGGTGATGGTAGTGTGGTGGTCTGGGGCTGCTTTGCTTTTGCAGGATCTGGACAACTTCTCATAAATGATACAACCATGAACTCTGCCCTCTATCAGAAAATCCTGAAGGAGAATGTCCACCTGTCAGTTCATGACCTAAAGCTCAAACACAGTTGGGTTATGCAGCAGGACAATGACCCGAAGCACACAAGCAAGTCCACCCCTCAGCGGCTGAAAAGAAATGAAATTAAGGCTTTGGAGTGGCCAAAATTCAAGTCCTGACTTGAATCCCATTGAGATACTGTGGCAAGACCTTAACCAGGCAGTTCATGCTCGAAAACCCTCCAATGTAGCTGAATTAAAATAATTCTGCAAAGAATTCAGAATTCCACCACAGCCATGCAAAAGACTCATTGCAAGTTATTGCAAATGTTTGATTGCAGTCGTTACTGCCGAGGGTGGCACAACCAGTTATTAGGTTTAGGGGGGCAAGTACTTTTTCACATGGGTGATTTAGGTTTGAATAAATCTTTATCTTCAATAAATGGAATGTTGTCTTTATCTTATATAGAAATTAATTGGACGATCTGAAACATTGAAATATGACAAATTAGCAGAAGTAGAAGAAATCGAATGTACTTTTTCATAGCACTGTTTATTTGTTATATGTATTTTTGTGTAGCTACAAGTAAGAGCAACTCAAATGAGTCAAAATAATCATTTCACGATTAAAGTCAAGCTTGGTGGTAAAACCATAAAAAGTCTATGCAGACAAAAAAACCTCAGATATGAATTATAGTGGTACAGTTTTGGGTGAATACGTATGCTGGTGGAACTCACTTAATAGGAAACTCAGCAATAGGTTCCTTATTTCATGTACACTCTCAGAGATGCAAACCCAATTTCTTACAGATGTTGTCGGGGATCGTTGCACACAATTTACCCTGTTGAATATGATTGCCAAGAACAACTGCGTTGTTTTTAGCTAGATTTGCTCCATGACTTTGACCTATGGTACGGCAATTATAATTTCCATATTCAGCAGCATACTTTCCTGCCATTGTAAAACTTTAGAGTAGTCTTCTCTTCATCACACACAATACAGCCTGCTTTATGGAATGTTCGCCATCTGACAGATGAATGCATGCTTTTCTTAAGAATGTACACTGTAAGTCCACAAGTATCCAGACAGCCCTTCTAATTCTTCTAATTGCGTGTACGCAGCTTGTATAAGCTCCATGGAAAAGCCAATTAAATGGGATGCTCTGGAGCAGAAGCACATGTGGCCCAAGTAGCATTGGGCTGTGGAGCAGTGGAACTGTGTTCTCTGGAGTGATGGAGCTCCATCTAATACCTTTGGGATGACTCAGGATCCAGAACTGATTATCCAGCATCAGTACCTGACCTCACTAATGCTCAATCAAATCCTCACAACAATGTTCCAACATCTAGTGTAAAGCCTTCCCAGAAGAGTAGAGGCTGTTACTGCAGCAAAGAGGGACAAACTCCCTATTAATATCCTTCATAAGGAGGTGTCTACAAACTTTTGGCCATATGGTGTATTATACTCATGTTTACATTTGATATTTAGTGGGTTTGATTTCTGCCAATGTGACTTCATACCCTGCCTTCAAGGGAGTTCCAGCTATTTTTCCAAAAAATAAGCAAAATACAATGGAAACAGAGTCACTCTGAGTGTTTTGGTGTGAAATGGTTGATTGTAGAGGCTCAGATTTCTTTACAGTGGTGGTGATAGGAACCAGGGGTCACCATGACTACAACACAAATATTGCCGTTTTATTTACTATCCAAAACCACCAGTGAACCTACATCTGTCTTCAGGGTTTATATGGAATGTTGATGATGGTATAAATGGTTAATTGGTCATGTATTCAAATTTACATTTACATTTACATTCACTGCATTTAGCAGACATGCTTATCCAGAGCAACTTACTGACATGCTTTGTTGTCCGCTCAGACAATGTGACCAAGCTGGCACAAACTACCCTTGAGCTCAGATGCTGCCAGAAACAAGAGCCAGTACTGATATCTAGAAAGAAACTACAAAGAAAGGTACACAATGTTAAATTAAGATACAGCTTAATGACAATAAAATAATGCAATACATTTAAGTGTTTCACAAAGAGATGTTTAGGGACTCGGCTGTTCGGACAGAGAGTGGATGTCTGTTCCACCACCTGGGAGCCAGGACAGAGTGGAGTCTTCTATGTGTCTTGAAAGATCACGGGTTAAGTTAAGCTTGAAGGGCTTGAGGTACGGATCGCGTTTTGGCCATCGCCATTGTGTACGGAAGGGCTGGTCCAGTTTTGGCTTTGTAGGCATCAGAGTTTTAAATCTGATGCAGGGAAGTACAGGAAACCAGTGAAGGGAACACAGCAGCGGGGTGACGTGAGTAAACTTAAGAGGACTGAAGACAAGCTGTGCTTCTCAGTCGAAGGGGCTGATGGCCTACCTTAGAAGACAAGCCAAGAGCGAATTATAGTGGTCAGGCCTTGAGATGACAAGAGACTTAAACAGCACCTGGGTGGCCTCCCTAGAAAGAAAGGGTGGAATCCCCCAGATATTGTAGAGGACAAACCTGCATGACCAAGAGAGGTTTGTAAGATGAGCCGAGGCATCAGGCTACACAGTCATAGCCATTTAATGTAATAACTCTCTGTAAGGGAGCTTTTAGAGGTGGACGTCTGGTTCCTATCACCACCACTGTGAACAATTCTGACTCGGTAAGTTTCTCTAGAACAGCATTTCACACCAAACCACTCTGAATAGCTCTGTTTACGTCTTAACGGTTGAGTTATGCAGAAAGTTTGAAAAATTAGTGGAATTCTCCTTTCATGTTAATTTAATGAGATGTAGTAACAGTTTAAGTGTTGCCTGTTGACTTACCTATCATTTGGAAAAAGCGCTTCAGTGCCAAGCGTTTCCCACAATCAGCAGTGAAAGTGCAGTGTTGTCGAGAGTAATAGCGCATTGTGTGAAATCAGATGCACAGAAATGGAAAGACAGGAGAAAAATATTCATTTCTCGAGAACTTATTTTACTCCTGTTACTATGTTTTTGCCTTTTGCGTGTCTCGTCTTTTTGGAAGTTCTCTGTAGTTTGTTTTTTAAGGCCGATGAGACCAGGGGTTGTTTTTCCCCTGCTTTATTTCCTGTGTTAGACTGTAATTTCCTCACGTCAACCTCATTGCACTCTTATTATGAAGAAGTTTCACAACATTATTCTTTTAAAAAGGAAAAGCAATTATGGGACATATCGACCTCTGAACAGTGTTATTTGTTTTCTTTATAATTTAAAATAAGTTAAATAATTATTCTACATAATTATAACTACACAATTAGTAGTAATGTGTAAACATCCCATCGTATCATGTGGGAATAGAATTTTTGTGGTTTGGAGGCTCTCGAGAAAAAGCATTTACATTCTCTGAGGCCCGAATCAAGTTGTATTGGCCCGAAGTGCACCAAACATTAAAACCCAGAAGACGTTTAAAAGGACTTTAGGTAAGCTCATCCTGAAATAAACATTGCAGACATCCTGTTGTGACATATATGTTCAGAAAATGTATCCCATCTGAATAGTACTTAAAGGGCAATTCCATCAATCTTTCAAAATTTCTACATAATTCAATAATTAAGATGTAAACAAAGTCATTCGGAGTGGTTTGGTGTGAAATGCTCCATTCTAGAGAAACTTGGCGTGTCAGAATTGTTCACAGTGGTGATGATAGGAACCAGACGTCCACCTCCCTCCAGAAAGTTATTATATCAAATGGTTATGAATACACTGCCTGATGCCTGAGACATTGAGTGCAACTACAGAAAATCAGATTTTGTCAGCAATCCAATCAATGTGTTTATATGCACATTTGCAATCAGATAATGGGAAAACTCATAATGTAAAACTCAAACTTCATGCCACAGCTTTTTTTTAAAACATCGCACCACTTTACCTGAAAATATGAACATACATCATCTAGAAGATGAAGAATTTATTTAGTCAAGTATGTATTGGTTTCAGCGTCACTCCAAAAGTGTTTTGCTGCGTCTCGTGGCAACACTGCTTGCTCATTTCCAGTACCACCGTCTGTTTTGCACATGTGCAGACTGAGAAATCAGAAAGAAATCAGAGTAAGAGTTCACATGCACTGAGAAATCTGATTACTGAGCTAAAATCCAGCCTCTTTATCGTAATTCTTAATCAGATTTCTAGACCTTACTCCTATCTAAGAAATCGGAGTGTGCTGTTTACATGACCATTTGAATAATCATATAACTGCAGAAATCCAGTTATGATCAGATTATTGAGAGCATGTAAACACACACATTGTTTTACAATAGTTTTAGGAACGTTTTGGCTTTTTTAGCCCATTCATGATGCTGTGGTACATGCAGGCATAATAGTCCCTAAATAATACTTTTTCAAATGTTCCACTATTTTCCCATCATCAACATTCCATGGTTCCTATCACTACCACTGTAAAAAAAAAGTCAGAAAGTTTCTCTAACAAGAATGAATCATTTCATATCAAACCACCCTGAATGACTTTGTGTACATCTCAGCGACTGAACTAGGCAGAAATCTAAAAAAATGATTGGATTTTCCCTTTAAGGACTTAAGGCAGGTATCCAGACTGCTATGGTGTGTCAAAGGACCTTTTTTCCTAGATCACAAATTATATTGAAGAATCCCGATTCAATGCCATTTAATCCTCTGTAATCCAATCTGTGCAGAAACCAAGCTTAAAAATGTCTTAATCAAAGCTGAAGCATTATTCTGCATGGTGCTCCACTTCTCAGAGCAACCAGCAGGGGGCGGCAGAGTCCCACTCTTGGGCCGGCCTGACAGAGAGCTGCTTTTGATTAGGCCCCTGGCTCGCCGCTGGCCCGGGCGCAGACTCCAGTCAGCTGGCTGTAAATCAGCTCTAATTTGTAAGCTGTCAGCGCCGCAGTCTGCTTTCGGAACCTCCGTGCCAAAGAGCAGCCGTGTGTAAAAGGCGAGGGCGAGACGCTAGGACCCCCTGGGGGGCTGGGCTGGAGAGGCGGAGCGCTGCAGATCCAGAAATTGGTTCCAGAGGGACGCTGCCAGGCCTGCCGGGCTCCTCCGGCAGCTTTACAGAGCAGGAGGAGGTGTGTGGATTCGTTTCCCCTCAGGCAGAAAGGAGTGCTGATGCACAGCACTGAGGTTTGGAGTAGACCCCAGACAATACCAGAGACCTCCTGCTGTGCCTGGTCTCCAGAGGCGCAGGAGGTGTGCCTGAATGTGGCTGCGTGTGATTTTTCTTGCACCCTTTCAAAGACATTGCTTTAGAAGGTCTGGGGACTCGTTATGTTGTATATATAGAGAGATGATGACTCTACAGCTTGTGATACCAGACACTAGACGGTAAGACGCTGGGCTCCAAGCTGGGCCTTCAACAGGGGAGGTCAACCAGTAGGTTGTCCCAGGTTTCCTTTGATAAGAAAGTATGAATCATTTCCTAATTTTTATTCAGGTCATAGTCCCTCTCTTCGTGTCAGTTTAATGCAGTTAGAAAAAAAATGGACAGTTTCACTGCTCGTTGATAATTGAGAAAAGTGGGTTCAGTCCTGCTAGATTTGAAACATCAAACAAATCTCAGTGTTCCCAGTATCGGTGGTGAAAGTACTTGACCTCAGATGCAAATGTATGAAGCACTATATGGCCAAAGGTGTGTGAATTTCCCTCTTAATAGTTGTTTTGGTGCTGATTTGCTGTTTCAGCCACTCTCATTGATAACACGTGTATAAAATCAAGCACATAGCCACGCAAACTCTAGTCACACTGGAGAACTCAGTGGCTTTGAACTTGGCACTTTCAATGTGGAGGGACACTAGTGGCCTACACAGAGCCCTGACCTTAATACATTTAAGATGAATCTGAACATCAATTGTGAGCCAGGCCTTCTTCTCCATCGTCAGTGCCTGACCTCACAAATACTCTTTAAACTGAATGGGCAGTAATGGAGACACACCCCAAAAGCCTTCCCAGAATAGTGGAGGAACGGTTTGAGCATAGTTTTGGGATACTTAGCTAGTTAGACTAGAACGCTGCTTCTGTTGCAGTGATATTAACCTTTTTGTTGCCATATGAAGGCTAAAGCAGAGAGCTAATAGGAGGTTTTACAGGGATCTGGCTGTGTGCTGTATGTCTGGGTTGCTGGATGTTAGAGCTGGTTTCTCTCACTCTGGCTGGTGACAGCAGGTTCCTCTGAGTGTCCTGATGTGTGAATCATGTCGCTATTTTCAACCCTCTGTTAATAATATGAAGGCTAAAAGCAGAGATGTAGTATAACAGTAGCGTGTGGGTTGTGGGTGATTTTGGAGCTGGATTGCTGGCTGATGGATGGTCACAGGTGGATGAAGTCACTCTGGATGGTGAGGGCAGAGTCTGATGAGTGATCTGATTGGTGAATCATGGGGTTGTTTTAACTCTTTGTTGGAATATGAAGGCCAAAAAGCAGACAACTAATATCAGGATTTTGGGTGATTTTCCAAGCTGAATTACTTACTGACACTGAGGTCACAGCTCGATGACATCTTGCTAGCTAGTTTGGGCCGGGTCTGCTGAATGTCCTGATAATGTCTGTAGCTTAAACTGTTCTGAAGTTATAAAGGCTAGAAATGACCTACATCTTTGCCCACAAAATAGGGTTGAACTTTTGTTATTGTTTGACCGTGGCGACCTATGAACCCAATAGAAGTCTAATAGTTGAAAGGGGCATTCTGGCCTAAAAGCAGTATTTAATATGTTATTTGATAAAATAGAGGTGACACTTTGTTTTGAGTGGTCCGTTTTAGATCAAACAAACTCTGAACGGACTTGTATGTACTCAAAACATATGAGGGTTAGGGTTAGCTTTTGGGTTGAGGTTAAGGTTAGGGTTAGGATTAGGATTAGGATTTGGTTTTGGATTGAGGTTAGGGTTAGGGTTCGGATTAGGATTAGGTTTTGGGTTGAGGTTAAGGTTAGGGCTAGGATTAGGACCAGGGTGAGTTGTTGATGTGCTACTAATAAGGACACTCCAAACAAAGTGTTACCGAAATTAAGAACAATTTCAAGCACATACATAAACAGTCTAAATATGACACACATTTCGTTGGAAAATAGCCTCTCCTTTGTTGTGTGGTGATCATTCGCATCCCAGCTCATACCTTCTCTCCAGCTCACGCATTCATGTGACTGGAAATGATTGACAGCCATGTGGAGCATGTGGGCCCTGTTCCAGCTAAGCCTGAGAGAGAGCGGCTCAGGCCCGCATAGGACAGCTGTTTCTGTCCCAGTCCCTAACACAACCGGCCAAGTGGCCAAATGGACAAATGGAGTTCCAGCACTCTGGATGAAAGGGTACGACTGTATCCCTCGTGTATGGTGTGACGGATTCCTTGGCAGGTCATTGGAGTGGGTCTCAATCGATGGCTTTGTCTGTATTAATGCCTCACATTGACCGGGTTAATGGGCACTGGGAGAGAAAGGGGCGGTGACATCATATACTGGACAGAGTAACCCTGAACTGACCGGATCCTTCCAGCATGGAGGAGTGTTAAAGTGCTGTGTTAAAGTTTCCAGTGGATAGTATGGAATGGTTTGGTGAAGCTACCAATCTGAATCCAAAACCACCTCCTTGTTTCTACACTCTTTGTCCATTTTATCAGCTCCACTGACCATATAGGAGCACTTTGTAGTTCTACAGTTACAGACTGTAGTCCATCTGTTTTTCTGCATACTTTATTACCCTGTTCTTCAATAGTCAGGACACCCACAGGACCCCCACAGAGCAGGTACTATTTGGGTGGTGGATCATTCTCAGCACTGCAGTAACACTGACATGGTGGTGGTGTGTTAGTGTGTGTTGCGCTGGTGCGAGTGGATCAGGCACAGCAGTGCTGCTGGAGTTTTTAAACACTCACTGTCCACTCACTGTCCACTCTATTAGACACTCCTACCTTGTTGGTCCACCTTGTAGATGTATTGTCAGAGACGATAGCTCTCTCTTGCTGTGCAGTTTATGTTGGTCGTCCTCTAGTCCTTCATAAGAGGTAACAGGACGCTGTTGGCTGGATATTTTTGGTTGGTGGACTATTCTCAGTCCAGCAGTGACACTGACCTATTTACACCTTAAAAAACCAACAAAACTTCTTTTTAGCAGGGGTGACTGTGGAAAGTTGACTGTGGAAAGTTGACTGTGGAAAGTTGACTGTGGAAAGTTGACTGTGGAATGTTTGAATATAAAAGAATGTTTGAATTGGATTTATTATTTAAAGAAACCCTCTGTGTGAAACAGAAGAAGACAGTACTGTTATTGACCGTTTCTATTTCTGTGTGGTTGCACAGATGCGGCCCCTGCCGGACCTCCGGGACCACCTGGTCCTTCAGGTATGATAGAACACACACACACGTTTTTATGCTGCAATATTTTCACCATTATGTTTAAACAAGTTAATAAGGAAAGGATTACCTGAAAAGAAAGTTACAGTTTGTCACATAAAAATGAGAGAATCACATAAAGAGGAGCTCTTAATTTTAAAAAAATCTCTGCATAATTTACTTGTTGAGATGTAAACAGTCTTTCAGAGTGTTTTGATATGAAATGGTTCATTTTAGAGAAACTTACAGACTCAGATTTCTTTACAGTGGTGATGATAGGAACCAGATGTCGCAATGTCTACAACACAGATATAGCCATTTTATTAACTATCCAAAACCACCAGTGAACCTAAACCTAAGCTTTTAAATCACTGTTGTCGGAACAAAACCTCATATCTCCATTTTTGTTGTTTTTCAGTTTTTGACATAATGTGAAATCGCCTGTTGTCCTTTACATGGTGTGTAAGTTTCACGATGAATGGACCAAAAGAAATGTCCCAAAATTACTTGGAATGAACTCTGGTTCCATTGACTTACATTGGAGTAAAGAAGGTGTTTCCTTCTCCTGTAAAGTTACCAGTTTGGAAATACAAAGTTTTGTTCCAATAGCAGCGATATGCAACGTTAATACTGATAAAATTGTGGTAAATCAGAAAAAATATGTTTTCTTCGGGGATTATTTTGCCTCACAACATAAAAACATCATAAACCATTGTCTCAGACACCAGACAGTGTATCTGTAACCACTTAATGTAATAAATTTCTTGGCTTGGCATGAAAATCATGGGCTGTAATTCAAAAGACTTTGGTCTTTTCTAATACCATCAGATAGTGATGACTTTAGTACTGTATTACATCCCAGTGTAATGTCTTTCCATTTTGACTGTGCTGTCTTTGTTTAGGCCCCCAAGGGCCCCCTGGAATCCCTGGCACATCGGGACAAGATGTAAGTATGAGTTCACACTGTACATGCAAATTTTTTACAAATTTTAAATATTTATAGTAGTTTTGTATGTTTTTTGTTTTTCAGGGCATGAGCGGCCTCCCGGGCAAGGCTGGAGTTCCAGGACCTAAAGGAGACCCAGGAGAAAGGGTGAGGTCACATTATTGTATATGGTCATCACAGCCAGCGTTGCTGCTTTTTTCCATGCTCCGCATATTGACTGTCTTGCGTCTTGAGTCAGATTAGCCCTGAAATGACTCGTGACTCGTTTGGACTCGTGAAATTTCAGCCTGAGGAAAAACACATCAAAACAGATTAAATTAGGACCACCAGCCTTAATGCAGAAAATGAATAAAATCTTTTAGTTTCCAACCTAATGTAGCTCTGGCCTTTGACACAGGTTTGATACAGCTTTAAATAAAGAGCCTTTTATTATAGAAAAACCTGCTGTCTGATGGAGAGAAGGCAGCCCTACATGCAGTAAATATGGTGTTAAAAGGAAAGAGCAAAAACAACTTTGGTTGGCTAGCAGGGTTTGGAAAGCAAGTACGCTAGCTAGCGCTAGGTATTATAGCCTGTTGCCAGCTAATCTGGCTGAAGTGTTAGTAAGTTACAGAGGCCCTTTTCACAAGAAGCAGAAGTGGGTAAAACAAGTTCCTCTATTGCCTTATGGACAGAAATACAGCTGTTCATGTCACTTCAGCCACCACAGAAAGGTGTGGCACTTTATCTTTGTCATAGTTGCCAAGATTAAAATTTGAAGATGTGTCCAGAACTTTTGGGGAACCAAACACGCAACAATGTGGGAGCCCAAGCTAAATAAAGGACCTAAATGCTTTGTGGAAAATTCCTTTACTGCTATCAGAGTACAGCAACGTCAGCTAACGTCTTCAGAGTGATAAATCACTGGGTGGGTGAAGATAACTATAACCCAAACGCTGATATTATTATTATTGTACTCTGATAGCTGTAAAGGATTTTTTCCACAAAGCATTTATGTCTTTCATGTTAGCTGGAGATGTTGAAACAGCTTGCTAACAATGAACTAGATGGCAAAAAGCTAAACACACACACATACCAGCAGGGGGGCGTACCGGGTCGTCAGGGTCCGTAACGCCACTGTAGACATTTTCCAAATATAAACTGTTCCTCTGAAAGTGGCTGCAGCGCCAACTTTAAAGCACAGACTGCATTTAGTGTAACGCAAGTCAGCAGCACTGAAATGGTTCACAGGGGTTATTTTCCTCCTTATGAAAGTTTATTCCTTTATTAATAGCACAAAACCCATTTTCCTTGGCTCATCGTCAGCTGACAAACCACTGAAACTGAGATAAGGCTGTTTTGACCTCAAACCATTGAGTGAGCTCTACATTCTACTCGTCGTCTACTCATCAATTCAACTGGGTTTGCTCTTATGCTAGCTAGCTAGCATATGTGCTATATAAACCTCAGACTAATCAGAAAGTTTTTTGTCTCGTTCCTTTAATTCTGCCTTTTCTGTAATGTGTATGAACATTTTTTTGTATAATGAAAAAAAAGAAAGAGGAAAAACAACTTGAACCAGTTGGCTAGCAGAGTTTGAATAGCAGGTACGCTAGCTAGCGCTAGCTATTATAGCTTTTGCCAGCTAGTCTGGCTGAAGTGTTAGTAAGTTAAAGAGGCCCTTTTCACAAGAAGCAGAAGTGGGTAAAACAAGTTCCTTTATTGCCTTACGGACAATTACTAACCTCAGAAATACAGCCGTTCACATCACTTCAGCCGCCACAGAAAGGTGTGGCACTTTATCTTGGTCATAGTTGCCAAGATTGAAATTTGAAGATGTTTCCAGAACTTTCGGAGAACCAAACACGCAACAGTGTGGGAGTCTAAATAAATAAACTAAAGGACATATAAAGGACATAAATGCTTTGTGGAAAAAATCCTTCACAGCTATCAGATTACAGCGACGTCAGCTAACCTCTTTAGAGTGATAAATCACTGGGTGGGTGAAAATAACTATAACCCGAGCGCTAGATTAGCCATATTAGCTGGAGACATTGAAACAGCTCTACTGCTCTACATCCTACTCGTCATCTACTCATCAATTCAACTGGGTTTGCTCCTGTGTTAGCTAGCTAGCACATGTGCTATATAAACCGCAGACTAATCAGATTTCGTTCTCTCTTTCCTTTAATTCTGCCTTTTCTGTAATGTGTGTAAGATTTTCTATAATAAAAGGCTCGTTGTTTGAAGCTGGGTGGAACTTGGGTGGAATGCAATGTATGCTTAAGGAATACCTATTAGAAAACAGTTAGCAAAACTGGTGTTAACAAGTGTTAACATGACAGAAAGCAGCTTGTGCTGTGTTTTTTGTGTTTTGTTGGCCTGCTGTTATCATGATCTGCATAGAATTATAGACAGAAGATATAAGCTATCTTGTTCCGTAGTGAAATATGATGTTTTGCATGACGCTTTGATTATTTATGAATTGGTCCAATTAACTGAGAAGTTACATGGAAATTGTTTTCATACACTCAACTTCCCTGCTGAAAAAACAGCACGAGTTCCATGCTGGTCTAAGTTGGTCTGTGCTGGTTTATACTGGTCTGCTGCTGGTTGAGCTCGTCACCCCGTATGGTCATGCTGGTTGACCAGCATACCAGCATCCAAAACACAACAGTTGCTAGTTTTCAGTTGTGCTGGCCTATGCTGTTGTCTAACTGAGGTGGAACTATTTTCACCATACATAGCCAGCATAGCATTTATTCTGAACCAATTTCAGTACTGCCACTGTTTATTTTGCATATTTTACATATGCTAGAAATAAATACTCACTTAGCATCTCACTCACACCACCAGAAATACAACACATTTCCGAGGGGCAGTGACTTTCAAAAGCTGAGTATCATTTCTGTTCTTTGCCTATGACCCCCTATTGACCGACAGTCTTTATTCTGATAATGATGCAGTCCACTACTGTGGTATCAGTATCAGCCTCTCTCTGTTCTCCTCTCGTTCAATGGGAGGATCAAACAGTACTTTGATTCTAAGACAGTGTCTGTAGTGTCCCAGCCAGTGGCAGTGGGCTGCAGCGGCATGCATTAATGTGAAGGGGTGGGCCGTCCTGCATTTTAAAAGAGCTGGAAAGAAGACGAGATGAGAGTCGGCCTCTGTCCGCCCATGAGATCTGTAGAGGGATGAGAGAGAGGACAGGTGATTTATGTGCAGGGGACTTTCTCATTGCTTGGTGACCAATGAGGGTCAGTGTGCCGAGCTGTAGGTTCCACTGGGGTCTTTTCAAAATTCAGTTTTTGTCCTCCTCACTTTCAAAGTTTGCTAGAGGTCATGAGGGACTGCCCAGCCGTCTTCATCCGGATTTCCACTCCCATTTTCGGCCTACACACATTTCGTGGTTGCATCATGCCTATTTCCATGGTTACACTGCACCCATTTCTGTAGTTATGTTACAGCCACCTCAGTAGTTATGCCACAATCATTGCCATGATCATGCAGCTGCCATTTCTATGGTTACTTTACACATTGCTGTGGTTACGCTACACCAGAGATGTCACAAATGAGGAGACCGGTCACTGGTTAAAATATGAATGGGGACGCTTGGAACGCACAATATGGCATCTGTTTGCAGAGAAAGTCCCGTCCTTCGAGAAAAAGAGCCAATCAGCTTGTTGATTGCACTGCAAGCGGCAAATGAACAGTGTAAGCCCCGCCTCATTCTGGAGATCTGAGTAGTAAAATCACATTTTTTGTGCATTTTCAAGCTAAATGCTACAAACTATTTACAAGATTTTCTTCAGATTTTACAGTTGATTTCAAATGTATTTTAATGCTAATTTGACCTTCAGTTTCAAGTACCAGGGAGATTCACTCGAAAAAGGCCCCGAATATTCTGTAATAACTCTCACTAGGACGAAGCAATCTGAACAAAACAACATGCAATGTGCTCCTCCGTATATGGAGCTTCGAACAAGCCGGGATGCCCCTGCGTCGGAGCGATGAGGTAGGTGCTGAATAACCTTTGCAACGTTTAACCTCTGTTTGCAACTTCCGGGTGCATATCCCCGTACCCCTTCATGTGTCTGACCGAAAACGGAGATCACTTCCAGCATCGCATGTAATGCAATTGATTACACATACGTCAAGGTATGTAGCGTATTTTTTGGTTTAGACTGCTTCATCCTAACGGGAGTTACAACGGAATATTTGGGGCTGAATGAGCAAATCTCCCTGTATTTTAGTCTCTCCCCATTCAGAGAGATAGGAGCCTGGTCTTTTATGAGTGGAAATACCAACTGCCCGATGCCTTTGCAAAGATGACCCCCAAGTGAACAGACTTTCCTGTAAGGACTTTGACTACACCCATTTCTAAGGTCTCCACCCTGTGCTATTTCAGATCAGCCTTGACTCCGCCCATTCATCATTATTTGCACCAGTGTCTTGTATGTTTGTATGGATTTATATCAGTAGTGCTCAATTATGTTTTTATGTTCATTCATTTCTTTGTTTTTGCGCCCACTGTTGAAACATCTTTCATTTTCCCCTGTTTTTGGGAGACGTCCCTGAATAGACCTATTATATGAAACCTGCCGTGGAGCTGCATTTGCTCAACGCGAGCGACCTAGATTTGTGGAAAGATGCCATTAAGAAACTGACTCACTACATATGTCCTCCCACTGTTCATTAGTTACGCATACTGTGATTCACCAAAGAATTTAGGACAACAAAATGCAACGGACAAAGCAGCAGCAGGCTTTACTGAATATCTAATGATGGTCTTAACAGTGCAAACAGTTCGATAAGGTAATTAATGTGGAATGTGAACCTAGTGACACAAACAGAAGTTAGTAGAAAGCCGCTATATCAGGATAACCTCTGCTTTAAACTGAAAAAACTTGCCAATTATTCTTTTTTTAATGATAAGTATGCTTGTATATAAGGAGATAGTTACATAAGTGGAAACTGTATTGGTCTGCTAGCAATGGACACTGTCTGAATTTTATGAATTTCTCTCTGTACAGGGACTTCCGGGATTAATCGGAGAGCAAGGACAACCTGTAAGTAACTTGTTCCTACATACACATGTATCACAAATTCTATGCTGTCTGAGAATCTGATGTTTCCTTCTGTCCTTCTTTAATTGTCCTCTCACAGGGTCTAGTGGGCACTAAGGGGCAGAAGGGAGAGCCAGGAGAAAGCCTGCCGGACGTAAGCTGATCAAATTGATTTTAGCCTAAAGGAATACTTCATTCAGAAATACTGCTTTTGCTAACAATGAACAAAGCTGGTGGGTCACTTAGTATTATATACATTTGATCCACACTAGCTTTTCTTCAGTGTTAGCCATAGCAGTGCTTCATGTTTCCTGATGGTTGCTTGAGTAAAGTCTTTAAAGAGTCCATTGTCATTGGACAATTCGCTTTTATTACCTCTTCTATGACCTCTTTTTATTGGTTAGATTATCCATTTCAACAGAATGTAGACAACCTCTGTTTTGATTGGCTGCCCTATATTGGGCCTTTCCAAAATGCAGTCCAGGCTGGAAGAAGCTGTTAAATGTGTACTGAAATCCTTAAGAATGTGGGGAAAAATAAGCTCCAGCCATTCCTTTTGGGTGTGTGGATCCTTTGGAATGCTGCAATGACCTATTTGCCTCCTGGCAGCCAGAAACAGCACAATGTTTAATCTCTTCCTAGGTCTCTGATTGGCTGGATCAGATGTGTTAGAGTTAAATAGGGGGTGGGGCAGGAAGGCAGCTTTCCAGAACCAGGGTTGGAGACCCCCAAATGCTCAAATTACCCTTTAATAAAAGATTTTCGTGGTATAACCAACATAAATACTGCCAAATAGGCCTGGAGTATATCTGTGTTTTTACTGCAACCTATGATTGAACTGAACTGAACTGAACTGAACTGAACTGACCTGAACTGAACCGAACTGAACTGAATTGACTGCAGGGTGACGGGATTCAGCAGCTGAGAGAAGCTCTGAAGATCCTGGCTGAGAGAGTGCTCATTCTGGAACACATGATTGGCATCCATGGTAATACGAACGTTCATTAGTTTTCTGTGTTTGAATGGAATGTCTCCATCATTTGGCTTCATCTTTTTTACTGTCCTGTGCAAGAATCAAAGAAAAACTATGATAATTCCTTTCTGAATACAAATATACACCAATCAGGCATAATATTATGACCTTGTTTCTGTTCTTCAGTGGTCAGGACCCCCATGGACCCTCACAGAGCAGTGGATCATTCTCAGCACTGCAGTAACACTGATGTGGTAGTGGTGTGTTAATGTGTGTTGTGCTGGTACGAGTGGATCAGACACAACAGTGCTGCAGCAATTTTAAAACGCTGTGTCCACTCACTGTCCACTCTATTAGACACTCCTACCTTGTCAGCCCATCTTGTAGATGTAAAGTCAGAAACGATAGCTCATCTGCTGCTGCACAGTTTGTGTTGGTCATCCTCTAGTCCTTCATCAGCGGTCACAGGACGCTGCCCACAGGACGCTGTTGGCTGGATATTTTTGGTTGGTGGACTGTTTTCAGTCCAGCAGTGACACTGAGGTGTGTAAAAACTCCAGCAGCACTGCTGTGTCTGATCCACTCAGATCAGCACAACACACACTAACACACCACCACCATGTCAGTGTTACTGCAGTGCTGAGAATGATCCACCACCCAAATAGTACCTGCTCTGTGAGGGTCCATGGGGGTCCTGAGCACTGAGAACAGGGTAAAGGGGGCTAACAAAGTATGCAGAGAAACAGATGGACTACAGTCTGTAATTGTAGAACTACAAAGTGCACCTATATAGTAAGTGGAGCTGATAAGATGGACAATGAGCATAGAAACAAGGAGGTGGTCATAGTGTTATGCGTGATCGGTGTGTGTCATACACTCATTACGAATCACCAAGGTGCTCAATATAATCCTGACTCCAAGCCACTGATCTACAGGCTGTGGTTCTAGCAAGCATTAGTGACACACTGACCTTCAAATACATCATCAGAAGGGGTTTTGCCTGGTCTTGAAACCAGGAAATCTCGTTCTAGAGACTGTTCCAGCACAGGTGTAAGAGGCAAGTAGGCATGTTTACAACAGTATTGCAGTCTTGGTTACATTTTTCATTTTGGCTGATGTTTCCTTTAAGGTTAAGGTCAAATTTAGGCTCAGAGAAAAGTTACATTGACTTATTGGACATTTAACTGAACAGCAGTGAAAAACAGAGTCTACAAAGCACATACAGTGGACCATCAAAACAAAGTGGCTCAGTGTGGGACCAAATAAAGCGTTTAAGAAGCATGTATGTGTGTGCATGTTTACAGAGAGCCCAGCTGAGGGCGGATCTGGTCTGGAAGGTCTGTCGGATCCTCTTCCCCTGCCTGCTGTGAAGATCAAACGGGCCCAATCCGCCGCTCTCCGCTCAGGCCAACAGAAGAGGAGGAGTGTTTGACATTTACACGAAAGCTGTCACTCATTACTGTCCTGAATGATCCTATTAGGCCTGATAGAAGGGCCTTATCGAAACATCCCGACTTTTCAGTTATAAGTCATGTGTTTTTTTGCTGTACAATGTTGACAAGTTGTGTATTCCTTTTAAGATGTTTTTTTTTTTTTGTGTTCTTTCAAACCGGCCTGCCAGCTTGTTGTTGAGTTGACGTGCAGGGTTGTGGACGAAGCACAAAACACACCAACACACAGTAAATTATGTCTTCTAGATTTTTGGCTTGTCGACTGCCAGATCAGCTTGCAGGCTCTGCAGTTTGCCTTACCTGTATCCACGAGGCAGCAGGACTTTTTCGAGTGCAGGTGTTGTGCACAGACACGCTTCACCCGCTGCTCAGCATCTCTCGGCCCGATTTCGGCTCCCCAGCTTGTTAAAGCTGCGGTGAGACAGGACGGAACAAATGAGCCCCCCCGCCTACCAGGCAGCTCCAAATAAAGCGCCGTCAAACCAGAAACATCTGGATGGTCCGTAACAAAAGCAGCCCAGCCTGCTATTGTTTTTGCTCTCCAGCCCAGAAACACCTTGTTCAGATTTTAGTAGGAGGTGTTCTATCAGCTAAATTGCAACTGTGGCGTTTATTTCCCTTTGGTTGCCTCCTTTTGTTCCCCTGCATGCCGTTTCTACTTTGTGAGTCACAATAAAAGACATATCACTCCGACTCAGAGCGGTTTACCCCTGAGTGTCTTTACCGAGAGTCTGTCTGCAGAAGCGAAATTAATAAGGTACTCGTTCTGACAGCAAATAAACACTTCAAATCTCTGTTGTATTGTTAGCGCTTGTACTGTTTCATAGCCTACTGTTATCACTCAAGACTGGATCCCTGCAGTCCACCCCCCCCCCATCACCCCCGTTCCCAAATCTAGTCAGCCAAGACGTTTGTTGAAGTTTGCTTTATAAGTCTTGCTCGAAAGCTACAAGGCTAATATCGCTAACAAGTAGGGGAGAGCAGGGCTTAATCTAACACATTCTAGTGTTGGAATAATCATGATTATATACAAGCAACATATACATCTCTGCTACGAACGAACACTTGAACTTAGTTTCTAAGACCTACCGTTCATGTACAATCCCACCCAAAATGACGGGAAGTGCAGTGTTCCAGTTTAGCCCATGGGTGGGTTCACTGAAACAGACAGAGGGTCAGTTTAACACCTGCTAGAAAAGTCTGATGAATTAGTGCAAACAAAAGTAGTTCAATATAATTCTATCCTGTAAGAGACAAATATATTTAACAACCGAACTGCATTGTATATTATCATCTATAAGACAGACAGACAGCTCAACTGATAGATAGACACACATCAAATTATATATGAACACTGACATGAGTCTGTGTGTCAAACAATGACAGGTTTATTGTTTGTCCAGTGAAAGACAGCAAATAAAACACATCACACATCAGTAAAACATGGAACATTGTTTCTGAATCACTACAGCTTTACCAACTGTCAGTCACTGTCAGTTTCATTAATAAACCTATTTAAAACCAAAACACTCACATCTGAAAGACACTAATATTTATTTGTCTTTGTTTACTAAAGGTGTCTGAGCTGTGATGCTGTGTAAGAACTAACCCCCCAGTACAGAGGCTGTACTTAAGCTCAGCTAGCAATTACTATGAGCTTGTCAGCTGCTTCTAAACGGCACTATGTTGTCAGCAGCAAGATGGTGATTAAAGTAATATAAGGTTGTATTTTGTGATTCACGCAAACAGCTCAGTAACCGAAAAAACCTGTGTTGAAAAAAGTGACTTACATGCCCTGAAAACACTCTTTGGCCCAGATCTCTTTAAAACGCTGACGAGTCGCTCTGAATTTTGGTGGGAGAAGGTGGGTAGGAAATGTGGTAATGTGGCCAGAAGCTCACACTGCTTGACCTTCTTTAACAACCTAAAAAGTGCTGATTTTGCGCGTTATGCTGTTCCTCATGCTCGTTGCAGTTCTTCTTAACATAACTGTTATACCGGTATAATAAGCACAGATGATGTGACGTACAAACAGTGCTAGCATTAGCCTGTTTGGCTGCATGGCTGAGACAGAGATGTTTCAGTCACATTTCAAGTAAAAATGAAAACGCAGCAGACCCTCGATCACCCCCCGCTGTCTAGTCTGTCACATCTGAAGTCCATTTTGTTTTAGAGGCAGCGGACATAAAGGAATGGCTGGTCTTTTGGGGTTGGCCTTAACCTAACACAGATCCCAAAGCGACTGTCACGATTCTCTTTCCTCTCATACCGCCTGAGGAGCTGCCTGACCAGATCATCTGCATCAGACGATGCTGCGGTCTCGGGGCCTTGTGTGTGAAACAAGCCTGAGACGAGGTGATACTGAAGTGAGAATGACTGTAATGTAGGGCTGTAACAACATTTAGCACTGTTTTTGCCAGGCTAGTATTAGAAAGCAATATTGACGTACACTTGCCGAGCACTTTATTAGGAACACCAGTACATCTGCTCAATCATGCAATTATCTAACCAGCCAATCATGTGCCAGCAGTCACTGCATACAGTTGTGCAGATACAGGCCTGCAGCTTCAGATAATGTTCACATCAACCTTCAAAATGGGGAAAAAATGATGCCAGACGGGCTGGTCTGACTATTCCTATAGCTGCTGATCTCCTGGGGTTTTTAACACACAACACTCTCTGGAGTCACTCAGGATGGTGCAGTAATGAAAAAACATCCATGCCTTGTTGGTGAGGGAGGTCAGTGGAGAATGGCCAGACTAGTTCAAGCTTGACTGAAGAAGTGGCACATAGTGTGACAGTTAATGGGCAGTGATTGGAGGAGAAAACGTTCAGGAAAGACGTGGAGAGCGTCAGGATTATGATGAGCCGTAACACAATGCCGAATGAGTTCATTTTTTCTGCTGTGCTGCTAATAAAGTTCTCACAGCAAAACAAAACAGCTCTTTAGATTTTTGCTCGCGGGGGGGCTCCTAGTGGCTTGGGCCCCTGGGCACACACACATAAAAGCCCTTGGGTGATCCAGGCATAAGCATTGTGTTAACTGCATGCCTAAATCATCACAAACTTCCCTCAAACCATATTGAGTTGCTCGGTAACAGGCCTCTTCATGCGGTTTCCGGTACTGTATGACACCCTGTTAGCTAAAACATGGATCTGATGGCTAAAAACAGTGAACAGATTTACACATTTTAAAGTTAGTTTGTGATGATTTAGGCTTGAAGTTAGCACAGTGCTGATTTGTAGGCTATAATCTCCATCACTTGTTAGCTACATTAGCCATTAGCCTTGTTGCTCCAGTGCAATACAAGATGCAAACTGCAACACTTGATATGTCTTGGCTGATTGACATTTAGGACAGTGGGGAAAGTGAATAATAGCCATTTTATGATGAATCACTGCTTTAAATATCACTTGTTTAAGTCTTGTTTGGTTTCCCAGGTAACATTTATGTTCCTCATCCTGCAGTCGCTTCCATGACTAGCAGCAGGCCTTCATTTACATTGATTTGGTGCTTTACTATCATTTATAGACAAACGTTGATCCGTTTTTAACATATTTAACTGTGTTTCTGTGCTTCGTATTTGAGTTATTGGTTTCTGCTTTACTTGTGTATCTATTAAAGGGTTTTTAAGTCTTTTGCTGGACATTTTACTTACATCCATAGTTGATTAGCAGTGGTACAGTTTACAGTGCCTAAATGATGGTGAAGTAAACGATTTACTCCGTTTGTGCTCATTGAGTCGGTGGTGTAAATGTAGCAGTGTTGATATAATTTGCTCTGATTGGTCTTGATTTTTTACTGTATTGGGAACCGTATGGTGTCATGGCTGTTGGACTGTGCCTTGTATTCAGTGTACTGTGCCTTGTATTCAGCCTGATATTGATTTATTGACTGTATGTACTACTTTTTGCACTCTGACTTCAGGTTGTTAACATGTTGCCATAAAAACGTTAACGTCTCCTATGTGTATGCATTTGTTTGTTTTTGGAGCTACCTTTTTAAGTTCAATTACAGATTTAAGATCCACAGTGATAGAAATATAAAATGTGCCTGCCGGTGAAGCAGTGAAGGCAACTTGTGTGGCATCATGAAAAAATATATCTAAAAAATGCTAACATGACTCTGCATTTTGTTCCTTTAATAATGTTGATGGAACATATTTTGATGGGAATATATATAATGTGCAAAACTGGAAGTGAACTTGATTTTTTTTTGTAGGTGAACAAGGAAGTCAGGATTTATCAAAGTGTTTTTAAAAGCATCAGTTCTTAGTTTTACCTCTGAACGGCCATCCTTGTGGAGAGGTGTGAACAGCAGGGGTTTATCCCCCCTCCTCTTTCACCCCTCATTGCTCGCTAGCAGCCCAACACAATGTCATAGGCCGCTTTTTCACTATGGTTCTCAGGGCCGTAACGGGCTGTTTCGTGCTGGACGGGACTCGTGAGACCAGTTATTAAATTAAATCAGATTAAATCAGAACCTGGAAAATACCCAAGTAAACTACACAAATGAGTGGCTAACTGCTAACAGGCTAATTGCCATATACACACCACCCACCACAAAACACATTTGATTACGTCTGTCACTCCCAACTCCGCTCTCTCTGCGTGCTTTCATCATCTTTATCCTCTAAACTTGTGTTATTTGAGCATCTGTTACACAAACAGCCTGTACTGCGGTGGGTTTTACCATAGATATACATACCTAGATGCCACGTTGTCTGTTGTTCTCTATCTGAGGTGATACGTCTGCTCAGCCACCATGTTGGAGTGGTCAAGATTCGCTTGTGAACAAATTCAACAAAAGTCTCAGGATTAAATCAGCCACAACTTCCTTACTACTCAACTGATTTTCACCAAATCTGTTTTGTTATAATTCTCAGACACAGATAAATCTAGCCTGCACTGACTGCTCTCGGTAGCTTTTATTTCTTTAATAACTGATCGTGCTAATTAGCCATCCTGACCAGCAGGAGAGTATTCAGTCTGCACCTGACATTAAAAACCGAGTTTAGCGCAAGAAACACAATATCATCAGGAAATCCATCAATGTGTGAAACACTTCTAATCTTAAACACATAACACTAAAATAACCCCCCCCCATCAAGAGGGATGAAGCTGAAGTTGGATTCCTATTCGCCAGCTTCTTGTTCAAGTTTTTCCATTCAGTCACTTTCTGCTGTCTGAAGCTGCACCATTTAAGGTGGAACGGGAAAATTCACACAAGAAGTTGGCAAATAAGAAGCTAACTTCAGCTTCGTTTAAGACGGTGCTACAGTTAATCTATTATGAAGATCTACACAGATTAAGGAATGATGTAACTTACCGAGCTACAAAGCACTGAACATCACCGTGAATAAATAACTACTACATAAAGTTAAGATCCCCTGAATAGACTATTAAATGAAATAGGCTTAATATAAAACCAGAGGCAAAACAATCACATCAAGTGCCTCATTAACCACACGGCCATATCTACACATAACCGTAACACAAACAATACGCATCACACAGACATGAGTGTGGATCACTGTGTTCCCTCCGTTATATAATCCTTTCCCGCTTTCTGAGTGTGATATTCTTGAAATAGTGTAATTCTGGACAGTATCTTTCTAAAACTGCTGCTCTGTAATGGTACTGAATGCAGTCCAGCAGTGATGTTGACCGCTTCAAAATGACGGTGCCGTTGACGTGCCTGGCTGGACCCAACACGCCATCAAGGTATGTATATCTATGGGTTTTACCTGTAGCCTGATAACTAGCTA